CCCGAAACATCAGCCTTTCTGCTCCTCGGCCTGCTGTGTTCATCCAGCTCTGCACCTTGTAGTCTCCACTTCTATCTAGAAGGTCAAGGGCAGCAGATACATGGGTACACCACCACCTGCAAGTTCCCCTCCAAGCAACTCACCATGGTGACTTGGAAATATTGCGCTATTCCTTCATTGTCACTGGGTCAACATCTTGGAATTTCATTCCGAAATGGTATTGTGGGATATCTACAGCACATGAACTGCACAGTGCAAAAACAAAAAGCACCTCACCACCACCTTCTCAAGAGCAACCAGAGGCAGGCAGTAAATGCTGGCCAGCCAGCAATGACCACGTCTTGAATGAAGTTAAAAAAAATGCTTCTGGAACCCATATGGTTAACCAGAAAATATTTAAATTCTACTTCTGCATTTCCATTGCACTTTATTCAATATTTGATTTTCAAAATTAATCCATGATTTCCTGTCCAGAATTGATATCGATTATAGACAATTTACTGGCATAAATTTCACATTAATTTTATTGAGGTCAGATTAGGACATTACCTTAGCAACTATCATCAATTAATTTTTGATCCCACAAGGTATTTCCTTGCATTGGAAGCAGTCTAGCAAAGGTTTTAAGTTGATTCTGAGATGAAGGGATTGTCTAAGGAGAACCTTTCAGCAGACTGGGCCTGTACTTAGTAGTGTTTAGAAGAATGAGAGATGATCTAATAGAAACATGGAAGATATTGAGAAGGACTGACAGGCAAAGTGGACGGGAATTTAGAACAGGGAACAGTCCTAACGTAAGGATTGGCTATTTAAACTAGAGATGAGGTGGCATTTCTCTCTCATAAGCTAGGGAAGCCAAGATATTCAAGAAATATAAGGATAAGCTAGATATATCTTTTAGAATTATTGGGGTGGGGGGGGGCGTATGAGGAAAATGTGGAAAAGTGGCGCTAAGGCAAAGATCACGGGGCCTGGGGCTTAAATGGTCTACTCCTGCTCTGCTCTTTGTTTCTTTTGATCCAAGATTAAAATTTAAGCCAGTCAATGGGAAGCAAAAGAGGATTTTCTTACAAAAAACTAAATTTCCATTTGTTACCAAATAAATAATACCAAAATGGGTCAAATTCTTAAAATGACAGGAACATAAACTTGCACTAACAACAAAACAGTTGCAACACAAAAACTTTTAAAAACCAACATGTACTGCATGAAGACTGTGGGCTGCAAAAGCTACTCTTCAGCAAAGGATCAGCAACGATCCAGATGTCACAACAAAATAGGGGAATTATTTTCGATGTGATTTGCTGTTAAAACAAACTCAAACTCAATCAAACAGGAGAGAGAACCATTATATTTTTGGCTACCAGCTCCATCATGGAGCTTGGATTTTAATGTGAAAGCTGCATGTGTGGCCCAACTCAACATAATTTTATATCAAATGGAAACAGAAAATGTTTAAATGACCAACAGGTCTGACAGCATCTGTGGAGAGAAACAGAGTTAAAATTTTAAAATCAATAACTTTTTTTCAGAATTTTGTTTAGGATTCCAAATAAAAGTCATTGATCTGAAATATGAACTATTTTTCTCTCCAAGAATGCTGAATATTTTCACTTTTTTTTGCTTTTTCAGATTCACAGCACCTACAGTATGCTTTCATTCAAAAAAAGTACTTTGCGTTTCACACATTAATCCAAAAATGAGTCACTTTTAAATAGTAAGCATTTACTGTCCTGGATCTCATCCAATTGCTTGGTGATATCCAAGCCTCAATACAGTGTTGAAAATCAATTTTCAGTCACATCTTCTAACTAATTCCAATCATCAAATCCTCACCCGCATGCTAGATGATTCAAGAGACGTGGCCAAATTTTCTTCTTGTTACTCAAGTGTGTTGAGGTACATTGTAGTAAACCAACTCAAGAAATCAACTTACTCAGTACATCAATGAGTACTAAAGTTAGACACTCCAAAACCTTATAGTTGCACTGCTCACTGATCCACCGGGGAAACATTTTACATCATTTTTATCCATACAAATCCTTGAACACTATGAAACAAAATGTTTTATAGTGCATCCAATTTCTTTAAATAACTTTAGATTTCACAATAAACGTGACAAGTTTGCTCTGCTTTTTCTGAGTGCTGTGCGATATAGTATTTTATAGCAAATGTTACATTTGTGGGTAGGAAACAGCCAATATTTTTCTTAAGTCATTTATTATATTTTTTGTAATTTTTATTACAAAGAAATCATTACTTTATTTGGATTTTTGGCAAATTATACAAAAAGCACACAATTCCAGTATAAAGTTCATAATTTCTAAAAATAGTTACAGAATCTAAAGCATGCACACTTGATGGTAGATTGCAGAACCCTGGGATGCATTAATTTCCTGAACGCTTCACAAAAAATAGGGCAATACCTATGACGTAAAAATGGTTGGTGCAAAGTACACATTACAGCCTAATATTATTTGCTGCAATGGTTCAGAAAAAGATATTTTCACACAAAAAAATATATACACACAAAATTCAAATTTGGATACTTAATCATTTTACACAAAACAAAGTCTTCCTGGAACACCTACAAAATATAGATATGTCCTACCCACGTATATATTGGCTCTTTTTTGTATTTGCAATTTGATGCGCCATTTATTACCATAACAAGACAATGTTTCAAAAACTTAAAAACCTGTCCATTCTCAAAATGAATCGAATTCCTCTGCATGTTTTAAAAATTATTTGGTCTATCAAAAGGCACATTCCACATCCAAAGACATCTGGATGATAAAGTACAGTATGGAACTGCGTGCAGAGAGGGGGAGACAGACAACGTGGGCAACGATCCAAAAATGCCAGCGCTTTGGCAATACAACAGAAGCCAGTCAATACCAAAGCTCAACACCACGCAAAAGAACAGAAATGCTGTTTTACGACTATTACTGCAATTTATTGAACGTTCTCTGCATTCTGTAGCAAAAAGAGAGAGAAAGTATTTGCAATGTCAAACAAGTACGGCAGAAATGTCCTACTTCACGTTGCAGTGGTTCTACAATTTGCAAAGAAGCTACGACATCTCTTTGCGATACTGCCGTCATTATATCCAACTTGCACAGTGAGAAAAGCGTTTTTTTTTCCAGTCAGATTTCAAACCCCAATGCATCGGCTGAGCCAGCTTTATGGACGAAGAACGTTACAGTTCAGCCTTCACTGCTCTGCCTTCTTTCTATTTCACTGGCTGTTTGAAAACCAGTGCACAGCCTTTTGCCATTTCATGATCCCTACATTGACAGTTCCTCAAAAGAAAAAAGACATCTACGATTCAATCCATCTCTTATCATTTAAACCCGCCTTACAAGACAGAAGGTGCGCTACTCGACGTTAAAATAAAAAAAAGCAAAACTCAAATCATGTGTCTTACCTTTTAATTTCTTCCTGAGGCTCTTTGGCAGCTTTAAACTCGGGGTCTCTGAAAGCGTCGGGGGGCGGGATAAGGAGAAAGAGGAGGAAAATAAAAGCCTTTTTTTAAAAAAGACTCATAAATTTGGCAGATCTGAAAACACGTACGGCGGCTGACAGCTGCAGTCAGGATCGGTCAGGCGATCGACAGGAGCGGAGACTATTTGTACACAAACACACGGGGAAAGGAAGAGGCAGCTAGCAGCAACAGCAACGCAAGCCCGCCCTGCCTCCCCGTCTCTTCCACCAACCCAGCAGCAGCCTCTAGACGGCACAACACATACACAGACACCCCTAGCAACAGCCGACAGGTACAAACCTCATCAATTTAAAGTGCAAATAGAAGGGGGGGAGGAAATATCCAACAGTAGACAAAACAACGTCAGAGTGGGGTTGTCGGAGAGGGGAGGGGGCTGGGGAAAGGGAAAAGTTGAGCTAGTCGCTCTCGCCGTCAGTAAATTATCAGTAACGGTGCTGCTACAGCAGCCATTTTGTTGTAACTGACAAGAGAAGGGTAATCGTGCTAAGGAAACGACCTCTGACCCTGTCTGGCTGACATGTGATCATAAGAACCAGCTTTCCCTCTTTCCTCCTGCCCTGATCCCGCGGCTCGCGCCCAACCGTCCCGCCTCTTCGGGTTACCATGGCAACCCACTCCGGCCTATCGCTGCGGCTGCTACAATGTCACGTGACTGCTACTGCGACCGCAAACTTTCTTTATTTTGAGTGGGGCTGGGGGCTGGGGATGATTGTGGGGTTTTGTTTGCGTTTGGTCCGGGGTTTCAGACCTGTTCGTCAGACCTTCCTGCTGTCCTTAAACCGCCAAAACAGGGAAGAGAGAAATAAAGAGACAACAGGTAAACACCCGGGGATGGGAAAGGAAATTGATGATAATAATAGTGATGATGATGATGATGCCATAAAACTTCCAAAAAAACAGATAGGGCCCGTCTCAACTGTCACTCTTGTTTGCCAAATCCAACCAATAGGATAAAGGCGCTCACGGCACGTGACCGCGTCCCTGTGAACGCTGGTTGCCCCGGTAACGGGTCTGCCCCAATCATCTCGAAAAGCCATCGCAAACTAGCCTGTCCTCAACATATACAAACGACCCGGTAATTGTCAATTGTACACGATCTGATACAGCTCGACATCATCTACTTAATAGGTACAGAGCTTATCTAATTTGACCCAGTGAAATAACCCAATCAAAATCAAATATATTAAAGCTGAATTGGCACTCCACTGTGCAGCAGCAGCAGTAGTAGTAGTAAATACCATTCAGAAACACAGCTTCTACTCCAGTCTCTTGGTCAGAACACTTGATAGCCTGGATTTGGAAAATAGATTGTATCTTTCTTTCAAAAACAATAAAGTAGTAAAACTTTTATCTTTGAGTCAGTTTGTCTATGTTGATTTTTTTTTTGTCTTATGTGACAATCACAGTGAAACATTTGTGATCAAAGTGCCAGGAGACAAAAATGGGATTTCTTGAGCCAAATATTCCAAGAACTTGGGCAACAAAAACCCAACAAAGTGGTCATAATAGTTCTTTGAGTTTCAAAAGAATCAGATTTTTTTTTTAAATGTAATGATTTTAAATTGAACCTGCTGTCCTGATCTTCCGCCATCCCTTCACCTCCTGTCTAGAAGGCACTGATTCTGTAGTAGACTTTGATTTTGTAGGTCCAAATCACATTCCAATATTTCACACAAGTGATTATTATACATGTAAGCCTAAGCAGTCAATGTAAGTCAATTGCAGGAACAGCCACAGCAAAGCGCCAGACTAAAACCATACCAGTCCACATTGCAGCCAAGATTGAGTGGTGGCAATCAGGGAAGAACATCCCAATCGTTCTTCACCAACAAATAAAGTAACTAATTGTGACACTCTGGTTAGAGATCACGTAACTGAACACATACCAGTGATTTGGGATCTTTCTGCTTTGTATGGTTCAGCTACTCACAAAATAAATACATTGTGCCATTGTACAGCCCTCACTAAAATGTTTGAAAATGAGGATTTTTTTTTATTTCACCCTTATCATTACTTGTACCCTAACAGAGCACAAAACCTCCAAGGCTGTCAACAACAATTTTGAAAAAGCTGCTGAAAGGTGTATGAAAATAGTCTAAGATTACTTTCTCTGCATTTTTTTTCTCTTTCTCATACCCCCTCACTACCAAACACATACGCCATGTGAGGGTCACAGATGTGAACTGGTAGATTTGGTTTATGCTGTGCCATCAGGACAGCAAGCAATCTTCTCATTGACTTTGGAATGAAGTTCCATGTATCAGGGGATCCTCTCAAAGTATGTCTATTAGTTACCATTGACTTGCACAAGAGTTTATTTGTAAAGAACTTGAGAATTTTTTTGACAATTTTTTCCTGCTGAGATTTATCATATTTGTTGTAAAATCTCAATGGGAAACTTGAGCAGTGTGTAAGTGGACAAGCAACACTAAATTCAATGCTGGTGTGTGGACATAATCCCAGAAAAAACTCTTGACTAATATCAGTGAAGTCCACCTGATTCACCACTTCTTAATTGAATGTCACTCAAGGGTGTAAAGAGGAGACCTACAGTTATTCAAAAATAAAGAAGACCCTTTAAATATAATAGGCAGTATATTTATAGAAGTGAGTGGTTTACATTTTCTTTGTCCTAAAAGGTACCTTATTAACTTTATAGCCATGAATTTTTGGTTGCTAAAAGTATTTCATGACTTTTTATGCTTTTTTAAAATTATGAAATAGTCTTTAGAAACTTGTTTTCCCAAAACTTGAAAAATGTGTTTCATAAAAAAAGCAGCTCTTTTATTTTAAGTTCAAGTAATTGACATTTTGAAGATGAACATGTACCGTACACAAAAATAGCTTATGAATGTGATTGTTTTATGAACAACAATGTAGTGACATTCTGTTAAATTTTACTGATAGTGAAAAATACTTTAGATATCTACATTAAAAGGTAAGTCATTTAATTACGCATAAAATTACATTCTCATAGAGCCACTATCAGCATTGTGAATGGCTACCATGGCAAGGTGCGTCAATGCACACTATCTAAGAATGTGAATTTTAGAACCTAGACGATATTCTCTGAGAAATTCCCTGTAGATTCCACTTATTGCTGATGCAACACTATCAGTTTAAGTTAAAGATGATTCAAAATATTGTTGGTGAATAAGGTCATTAAAAAAAATTAAAATAAAACAAACAGATTTCCAAATAAGTTTGAATCAATTTGCATGTTCATCTCAAGATTCAAGTTTTTAATTAGTGTTTTCAATACAGTGTTAAATAATTATTGGCGTCATAAAATTTTTGATATGCATACATATTTTGTTTACTAAAATGTAAGCGATCATAGTTTTCTTATTAGCTAGCTGACTTATAATAGAAAATTAAATTTTTTTGGAAGATACCCAAAAAGGGAGCAAATTGAAAAGCAATCATTTAAGACAATCTTCTAAATTGTTCTTTTGAATATGGCAAAGAAAAGCAAACCTGAATAACAAGCTTATGGTGCATCTTTAAAATGAGCTGCAACACTGGCATGGTGATATAATGTATTTCTGTTCAGCGTAACTGTTCCATGGAAGTTCAATTCCCACACAGCCAGTTTATGAATTTTGTTCACAAAATCACTGGAAAGAATCAAATATGGTGAAGAAAGGAAAGATCGAGTTTGACCATTAGGTGTTTAAAGAGTGGCATTGGTATACAATTAGTGGCAAGCTGCATGCCTTCTTCATCAGAATAATGCAAAACACATTAAGATCTTCAAAAAGGTAAGTTTTAAAAATTAGCAATGGGAAAATTATAAGTAAAAGCCCATAATGGAATTGATCTGCATTAGTGGAAAAGGCAAACTCAAATCACCATAACACATTACCAGTAACATCGGATATCAAAAAGTATATACATATATTCTTGTTCCAAATTGTTTCTGAATACAATTGAAAAAATTGTGATTGATGGGTGCAACCGTACAGTTATAAGAATACATACTTAAAATAAATTACAAGTTACTGTGTGCCAAATTTTCAGTGTTTTGTCAGGAGTTAAAAATCTCAAATCAGTATCTATGACTTTTTTTAATCTAAAGAGAGTGAGGTAGAGAAAAATCATTTGATTTGAAATTAATTTATCATTTTATTCTGACAATACACCAATTAACACTAGTGATTGAACTTGCACATCAGTTTCAACAAATTAAAGCAAAGGAATCTTGAGTTCTCTAGCTAAATAAGGTTAGATTATACCTGGTTTCATGTAATATTTCTAAATTAGGTAAACATATAGCCTGCCTGAGCTAGATATTGTTTGTTGTGTTCAAGTGTACTGGGTGAATGCATTAGCTGAGCTGATTTATAATTCTTCCAAGGGCACTGCAGGGATTCCATAGAGACCAACACATTCATAAATAGAAAACAACTGTCTAGCAGAAATAAGAGGTGGCACATAGCAATGCCAGTGTAGTGTAGACAAACTGGTTACTGCCAGTTTGATAAGATAAAGCTCACTAATGTTTCAACGATAGTCTACATATCTCACATGACTATCTCTTTCTAATATGGATTACCAATTCAGCTTCAGTTCCCTCAGCAACTAATGAACAAGCAGTAAAATCAATAACTGCAAAATGTGGATTTGTGTGCTTTCTTTGCAACAAACAGTAAATGGTATGCAGGCAGCAGAATGCTCAGGTGGGGGTGGACTGCATGAACCCCCAGAGGCCAGTGTATTTGTCATTTGGCAAACCAAGATAGATGTAGAGCACAAATTCATCAAAGCCTTCTCCAAAAGAAACACAATTCTTGTTCTAGTGTTATACTCCATCTATCTAGAGTCTGAAAAATGAATAAATAATGAACTATTCATTTCACATCGCAGAGACAAGCAACATACAGTGGAACAAAATAAGAACTAGATAAAGAACACACAATAATCTTCTGTCATGAACAATAATCTTTTGTCAATATTTTAGTGAGTTTCAGAGCTGTCATAATGTTACATTTTGTCAAGATTTCAATTCTAAAATATTCAAATTCAATCACAAATAAAGAATTCAATAACATTTTTCAGTTTATGTTTTCACTACTGCCTTGAGCGCGGTCCAAACGCTAACATTTCAGTATTCCGTACCAGCACAAATTGTATCTGACGTTGCAGATGAAATGATTTTAAGCGTATTATAGCTGTGAGGAATGGGAGCATAAATAAAGCATTTATTCATGCAGAAGTACCATATAATTAATTACTTTCAACATTAAAGTTCAGTACTGAACTCAAAGGATGATTTTTTTAAAAAAAATGAGATATCGGTTTTTTTGCACTGAGTGGCTTTGTCTACAAACAGCAGAGCAGCTCAACTTATCGAGGCAACGTCAACACTGCAGTGCCGGTTCCTTTGTTTCTCCACCAGTGGTTAGATCCTGGCTCTAACATCTCATAAATTATATCAGTGATTGACAATGATGGCACTGTTTGTAAACATAGACAGGGATGCCAAATATTGTAGCCTATTAAAAATGAAGTAGCTTTACAACAAAATGACCTAGAAGTACAGCATTTGGAATGCAGACATTTTAATGTT